TATCTGTGTGTGTATATATGATATTTCCCCAAATAATTGAAAATAAACTATGTTATTATTTATGTTTTTTTGAGACAGGGTTTCATTATGTAGCTCAGGATAGCCCTGAACTCACTGTGTAGCCCAGCCTGGCCTGAAGCTCATGGTGATCCTCCTGCCTCAGCCTCATGCGTGCTGGGATTATAGGTGTGCACCACCATGCTTGGTGAGAATAAATTATACATATTATGATCTTTTATTCCTAAAATTATGATGAATGTTATTTTCATGTATGTTGTCAATTTTATAAATTTATATTGATATAATATTTTCATCTATATCTTCCTATTTTCTAATTTTATGAATTGATCCAATAATGGCTTTTCTTTGGTGCTAGGGATTGAGCCCAGGGCCTCGTACATTCTTGGCATTTGAGGGGGGTAAGCTATATCCCCATCCCTTTTTTGTTTTATTTTGGAACAAGATCTCACCAAATTGCCCAGGCTTGCCTCAAAATTATAATCCTTGCCAAGCATGGAGACTATCCCAAACAAAGCAAAACAAAGTAAAGCAATTGCAATCCTCTTGCCTGAGCCTCTCACACAGCTGGGATTACAAGCATATGCCACCATGCTTTAGTCATATTCATTTTATCATTTTTGTGTTTTCATTTATTTTTTTACTAACAGGAAAGAGTTATATAATTTTACACAGAAAATTTAAAATCAAAGCCATATATAATATTGTAGCATGACAGAGTCATGATGACATTTTCATGACATAAATTTCCCTTTTTTTTTTTTTTTTTTGGTGGAACCAGGGATTGAACTCAGGCCCTTGCACTTGCCGGGGAAGCACTTATTCTACTGAGCCATCTCCCCGGCCCCTTAAATTTCCATTTTGATATAGTACAGTTCTTCTAATCTCTCATCTCTCTCTGATATATAGGAAGCTTTCACCTAACTAACTCATTGACCTTTAATCAGATGTCACTGAAGAAACTTGTGACATTGGCTGGACCACTTAGCATCCAGGCATCTTTAAGTATAATGCTGCGTATATACCATGTACATTATGTAAGGTTTGTTATTATAACTGACCTGTGACCTCATGTTGACTTGACATGAACCTCCTCTCACAACTAATTGGAGCACAAAAGAAAGGCAGATGTGAATCTGAAAGAAAAGGCCTATTACCACAAACAATCCCAGTTTCACATTTTAGAATTCTGTACACCTGGGGGCCTGCCCTTAGCTCAGTTGTTTAAGTGCCTGCTCATGCAAAGGCAGTCAGGAGCAGGATACCATGTTCGATTCCCAGCTTCACCTGCCTTACCAGACCTGCCCTTCAGGCAGCCTGAGCTACTCAAAAAAAAAAAAAAAAAAAAGAAGAAGAAAAAGAAGAAGTCTATACACCTAGATGGTATGAATATATTTAACACAGCATGAGATTAACAGTGAATTGTCATACCCATGTGAAAAACCTTTGCTTTTTAATTCAGTTGTGTATCAGAAGCATCTTTTGTGAGAAAATTTTATTATATTATTTCTAGAAAACCTTTTGCTGATGACCAATTTCTTTTTAATTTTTTTTTTCTGATGAAAATTTTGTTGGGGGTGTTTCCCATAAGGCTATGGTGATTGTTGGGACTTTTCATTAATGAAAAATCCAGGCAGCTTCTTCCTCATTCATCAATTGGTGTCTTGTCCAATAGTCTCTCCACACCCCAGGGAATTTTTGTTTAATTACCTTAATAACTTTTGATGACTTATGAAAACCTGGTCACAATATTTTTTGAAGAATTATTCACATTATTTTTGAACAATGAGAGACTCTCAAATCATAATACATAAATCATAATACATCATTTTGACCAACTGGTCCCACTGGGGTAGAAGCATGTCAAATACTTCAAAATCCAGAGGGGCTGGGGAGATAGCTCAGTAGAATAAGTTCTTGCCTGGCAAGCACAGGGCCTGAGTTTAATCCCTGGTTCCACAAAAAAAAAAAAAAAAAAGATTTGAGGGTGAGGGAGATGGCTCAGTAGAATAAGCACTTGCCTGACAAGCGCAAGGGCCTGAATTCAGTGCCCCATCTGTCTCTCCCCCACTCCCCAAAAAATCCAAACATGCAAAAAGAAAGAAAATAAAATTATTGAGCTCAGGGGCTGGTGAGATGACTCAGTGGTCTAAAGCATCTACTTAGAACAAGCTGAGCAAAGCACAGGGA